TCAGGTCCGGCTCCCTGGGGAGGCTCAGGGCTCCAGGGGGGAGCCGGGCACGTTGCGGCAGGGAGTGCGGGGGCTCCAGCCCCGTGTTGTCTGCCTGGGGCCGAGAAGAGGGTTAATGCCACCCTCCTTAGTGTCTCAAAGGTTGTCTGTGAGACCCGCTCGTGTTTCCTCTGCCAGTCTGCTACAGCCTGAAATGCATTTCAGTTCCACCCCATTGATGTTGACTTCTCATAATTTATTCTCAAAACATCCGAACTCCTGTTCCTGACGTGACTGAAGGATTTCTGCAGACTCTTTCAAATGGAAAGCAATTCATTTCCACTGGGTGCTTGAATCTAACGTGATGAGAGAGCGCGAGGAGGGAAAACGGGAAGCACAGTGTGGTTTCAGAGTCTGTTTATTTGCTGGCAGCCCAAGGAGCAGCTTACGCTGATGGAGTGTGGTGGATCGGTCTGGGGATCCTCTCGGGGGTTGATGGGATTAACGAGGGAAACTTGCACCAGCAGAAGCAGTGCATCCCATTTATTGTAATAAATAAACCTGCAAATGGCTGAAACTGCTTTAAAATGGGAGGTTGGATGGATTCTTCTGGACGAGAGCGGCTTTGGCTGGGTGACGGACCAGCACATAATTGGGTTTTGGTCACTGTGCACGTTGTGGAGGGGGTGTGCGAGGCAGAGAAAACCTTGCTGATTTTTTCTTACCATTGGCTATATACTGACTCTTTTCCACTTTAAATTTTTACCACTTCATAACTTGATGAACCCTGTGTTCAAACTCTTGACCCCCCCCCGGATGCTGCTTATACCTTGAGGGAAGCTGAACCGGGACCCGGCTCGGGGGTGGAAGGTGCTGAAGGGTGGTCTGTGGCTCAGACGTCAGCAAACCCCTTGGACCGGGTTCCTCGAGGTGATCAGGTGGCGAGGAAGGAGATGTGTTACTCGTTAGACTTAGGGTTTCTACGTGCTTTTGGAAATACCACTGGTAGCTTTCTGCATCATTTGGCACCTGAATCTCTTTTCAGGCTTATAATGGGAGCTATGAGATAATAAGCAAGCCATTATTGTTGGCTGTGGCAAGCCTAAAGCATTGCAGATCCGTGTTTTCCTTTATCCTGTGCATGTCCGCTCCCTCGTGCAGGTGATGCTCGCGGAGAGGAAGGGCACGGACGAGCTCTACGCCGTGAAGATCTTGAAGAAGGACGTCGTTATCCAGGACGACGACGTGGAGTGCACGATGGTTGAAAAACGCGTCCTGGCTCTCTCCGGGAAGCCTCCGTTCCTGACCCAGCTCCACTCCTGCTTTCAGACGATGGTAAGTGCCGGTGCCGCAGCCTGTCCCTGGCAAAGGGCAGAGTGGGCTGGGGACCCTGCTGGACCCTGAGCACTGAGCGGGGGGAGTCTGACACTTTGCAAAATGGATTTTAGTCACCTGGCTTTGCTGGTGAGTTTGTGGGCAGAAACCCTCTTCTAGAGACCCAGTGGCACCAGTTATCCGGGACCAGTGCCTTTCTGGGTGGCTGCAGGGCGTCCGGGAGCTGTGAGGATGGAGCTGTAGGGACTTCTGCCCTGGTCACGTATTTTAGCTTCTCTAAAACACACCTTTGCTTTTATTCGCGTTTCTTGTCTGGATATACGTCACTACACTTGCAGAAGCAGCCATGTATGTTCTGCCTTGGCAACCTGGCAACTTGTCCAGTTCGTGTGCCCAAGTGCCTCCTTGAACAAAATGCGTGTGTGTTAAACTGGAGGCGGTAACGTACAGTATCTGCCCCCCGCGGATTTTTTCATCAGGGAGCTGTTGATGGCATTAGAGGTGATTTCCCAGCCCCTCAGGTGCCCCCCCAGCCCCTGATGTCCATTACGATTCGATGATAGCAAAGTGCTGCATTTTTTCTCAGGATTTATTCTGGCAATCAGAAACCCGAGTGGAGAGTGAAACCCAACACAAACCGCAGGAAATTCAGTTTGAAGTGGGCGTGCGATGGAGTTCGTACAAATCAGAAGCGGAGAGGGGG